GGGTATGAATACTTTCGCAAACCACTGTAAATCCTGGATCAGTTTTTGAATCTGTTTACTTTTTTTACAAGGTGGGACATCTAACTGAGCATGTACAGTGTGAGTGTCATCACTCTACACTGTTTCTGTTTGGAGAAAAATGACGTGTTGCAACCGTCCCTTGTTGCTACTGTCCCCAGTCTCCCCTATATTTTATATTATTAAGACGTATAAGACACACCTAAATTTCCCAATTTTCTGAGTATGTATTTACCTGGTGCTGTGCAGTTGTGTATTTAACCAGTTAATTTCTATTGTGTTAGAGGTGGGGCTATATTGACTGGATTGAATTATTGTGGGGGTCATAACCCGATAACTCCCCTGCAAATTTTACATAAGGATTTTACATAAAATCAAGAACGTTGTGGACAACCCTGGCCATCCTGTTCATCAGACTGTCACAGAAACACAAAGTGTCTTCAGTTTGGTTGTAATACAGACGCTACAGAAGATCTTTYCTGCCCACAGCCATCAAAATCTACAATAACTCTTTAGTTAAATGAGTTACAACAACATCTAATTTCCCTCTGGGATCAATAAAGTATTTTTGAATTGAATTGAATAACAAAGAAATGGGAAAGGAAATAAAGGTAATGATCACACAAGAGAACTGGGAGGAAATATGCCAATTACAGTGGGTCTCAACTGGGTCAAGCACATGGTGGGAATTCTGGTGAAAAAATATTACAAGATTTTTAGTTACACCCATTCAGAACGCTTGTTGGAGACTGTGGAACCAATTCCATTTTTTTTTTTGGAATTATCAGGTAATTAGACCCTACTGGGAAGAGATCCACAAACACTAAAAATATATTTAATGTAAACATTCCATTCAAATGTGAAACTCTGTATTTGGGCACTTTATTATTTGAAACATGGACCAACGAAGACAACAAACTGCTGACTATTGGCAGCCAGTAAGAAATCCGTTATGAGGAAATGATTAAAAGTAGAACCTCTCACTATTGATGAATGGATTGAAAATGTGTATCAGATTTATTTTCCATTAGTAAAATTATAGAGAGCATCTTGAGCAGCTGCATYACAGCCTGGTACAGCAGCACATGGACCAAACGCCTGCAGAGAGGGGGACTTCACTGCCCTCTCTGCAGAGCATCTACCACTGCAGGGTTCACAGGAGAGCAGCCTCAATCATCAAAGACCCAACCCACCCCCAGCATGGACTATTTACACCTCTGCCCTTYGGCCGGAGCTACAGAAGTGTGACATGCAGAACCTCCAGATACAAGAACTCATTTTTCCCAAGTGCCATCAGACTTTTAAACAACTGAATGTGACATTCTTCTGACGATTATTATTGCACATGTTCACATTTCAGACTGTGATGTTATTATCTCGAGTTTGGTCTCTTTTTTTGTTCGAAGTGTGGTCTTTTTTTTTTATCCTTTATCCCTTATTACTTTGTTAGTGTCCTTTAAGTGCTCGTTCTTTTTTTGTGTGGTTGTCTCTTTGCATTCAGAATGGTCGGAAAAGTAAGAATTTCATTGCTCAGAGAAACGTTTTCATCTGTTGTAAGACCTCATTTTGTAATAACAATGTATTATGTGATATTATGATAAAATCAGGCTTCAAAATGTAATAAATTCGCGCTAAAACTGCACTATGTAATAATTGACACAAAATGTAATAAAAGTCTTGAATGCATTTTGTAATACTCTCAGCCACATTGTGTAATAATATTATTACATTTTGCAGCAATTATTACAAAATGTGGTGTTTGCTCTTTGTTTGAAATGATAATGTAATAATCTGGTGTATTATGTAATAAACAATCAAAAACCAGTATTTCTGTTCATCCTAATCAATATACTTGTAATAACTGTCATGTTGCAAATACTACATATTTAAATCTTTGTAACTTTGGTCAGTAAACACAGAATTTTTCATCTTTTATTTGCATTTTCATCAATTTTTTTCTTATTAATCTGAAGGACACTCAATGTAAAAAACAAATGTAAGATTTCATTTTTGACAGGACATCTAATAAACAGATGTACCTGCGCTCTAAAACCAGTCTTCACAGAAGCGCCCCCTGCTGTTCAGTTTTAATACTAACCCTGTGTTGCATCCTTACGTTTTCAAGTTCATGTTTTTGTCCTTGAACTAGTGGAAACTCTTACACTGCTTTGAGTAAAACAAATKTGTTTATATAGTTTAATGTGTTCCTTCTTTAATTACAAGAGGTTGACTAATATTACACATTATTTAAGTCCAGGAAATTGTTGTGAGTCTGTTCAGTTTGCRTTAAACTGTTGGATCAYATGCTTCTTTCATTTAATACCAACAGAAACATTATCCTTTTTGCTTTTTAAAGCATAGATTTTCATTTTTCTGAAAGCCATTTGGGAAAAAAATGTTTACATGTTGTGGTGGAACTAATACTTTTATGTTTAAGCCAGTAATTCATGACATCCTTTAATGATCTAGGTTTTCATGACATGCTGTTCATCTGCAGACAGAATGATTAAAGTCAGAACAAGATCTGCTAACAACAGTCATTCTTAGATATCACTTGTGTTTCTTTGTGTTTTCCATTGACCTTGTATCAAATCTTGCTAAGATGACATAATGGTGTTTGTTAATATACTGTATATATGAGGCCTTTCAACTGCATCAACAGTGTTCAACAGTGGACACAGTGAGTGGTGTGGAGAGACAGTGACAGAGAGAAGCAGAGRCACAGAGACAGGCCAGGTTGTTCTCTGTGTTTCCTGTTGTTGCAATAAAACTCAGCTGATCATCTCACGGAGTACCTTCATTCTTGGACCACGTATTTCTGTCTTTGTTAAATAAATATTACCATAACACATGTCTTGATTGTTCTGCCTTGAATGACATTTAGATTAATACACAAGGATTTGACTGAAAATGCAAATAAAAGATGAGAAGTTCTGTGTTTATTGACCGAAGTTATAAAGATTTAAATATGTAGTATTTACAACATGACAGTTATTACAAGTATATTGATTAGGATGAACAGAAATACTGGTTTTTGATTGTTTATTACACAATGCACCAGATCATTACATAAGAGCAAACACCACATTTTGTAATAATTACCGCAAAATGTAATAATGTTATTACATAATGTGGCTAAGAGTAGTACAAAATGTGGAAGACTTATTATATTTTGGGTCAATTATTACATAAAGTGGTTTTAGCGCGAGTTTATTACATTTTGAAGCCTGATTTTATTACATTATTACATGTGTTGTTATTACAAAATGAGGTCTTACATCTGTGTATATGACAATAAACACTTTGAATCTTGAATATTATAGGTAACAAATAGTAGAAAACATGCTGAGGTAAATAAAAGTGGTAAACTATTGCTTCTTACCTTATACTCATCATCCATGTTAATGTCCTCAAGCTTGATCAGGTCCAGTTTAGCACGTGCCACATTCATGATGCTCTTAAATCTGTCAAGGAGATGGGAAAACAGGAAGACAAACCATTTTAAGCAGAGATGGTGAGTCATCATGAGGTACTCTAAGGGATGGAAATTAAATAGTTCACACTGCCCTGTGGCTTTTATGTGGCCTAAGGAATCACTCTCAACTACTTAGAGGAAAAGTGAAAGCCTCCTCTGGAGGCTCATTTCAGGACACAAGCACACACAAATCTAATTATCTTGCACATTTAATTATTTTTCATTCATGAATATGGATTAAAGCCAACAAGAAAAGCCTTCAGAGATAGAGAGGYACGTTGCACCTCCTACTATCACCAAGGAAGGAAATCCAGTGAAAGGTCAGACAACAAAACTCTTATTGTGAATGAGTATTTCTGAAAATTTTCATTTAAAATAAGGACAGCAAGAGTACTCATCACAAAGCATGTGCAGCTGAAGAGCTTTGCCTGCATGAGATTATCTGTGCAAACAGTGAACATCAAAGTAACACTTTTCTGCACTCTGCTGGTTATTAACACAACTATAATTAAGTCATTCAAGTAACAGATCCTTTGCATTGACTAGTCCTTTGGTAAATGGGCGGTAATTAAACAGCACATTTCTATCCAACAGGATACTCAAAGTGCTTTACACTACATTCTGGACTCTCATTCACACTCATTCATTTAGCACTCTACTAGATCGCTCTACAAAGCTAATATAGGTAAATCAATCTATCAGTGCTTTAAATCACACTCATAGAACTAATGGGACACACATCAGAGGCAGTGGGCATTCAGTGTCTTGCCCAAAGACACACTTCAACATCTGACTGGAAAGAGGTGGAATGGAACAGCCAGTGTAGTGATTGGAAAGCTTGGCTTTAGTTGTGTAGCAAGAATGAGAGAAGCAGTAATGCTTTGTTCAGACCAAACAGGTTTTGTGTGTCAAAACGCCTCAAGATGGACGCTTGCACACTTTGAAGTCAGACGCTCATATCAAGCATCAAATTCACTCTAGATGCGCGTCTGAGCAAAGTCAGGAAAGTTTCACATCAAAATGAGCCTCATGACTTTTGGTTGTTTTCATGTGCTATGCTAGCCTGGTTCAAACCAGACCCTGTCCTTCACTTTGCTTCGTACAAGGGTCTGGACTCGCTGCGTAGAGAATCGATTTCTTGCAGGAGGCGTGGCCTCCGCTGAAGCATGTGTGTGTTGTTGCTGTGACGGAGGCTAAGCTAAGAAGCTAACCGGAAATTGCGTGTGCTGTAAACCAGTGTTTCCCAAAGTTGGGGTCGGGACCCAAAGTGGGGTCCCGAAACATCAATGTGGGGTCCTGAAAAGATTTTCTGAATTAATTACATTTTTGCCTTAGTTGTTACAAAGGAGTGAGGTTAGTGTATTTATAATGGATAAATGTAGTATAAAAATATTGTTACTATGCCCATGTTTTGTTGACCTGACACAAATGTTTATCATCCAAAAACAGTTGRGGGCACAGGTCTCTGCTACTGTTATTTTGTDGGTCAAAAGMTGAAAAGTTTGGGAACCACTGCACTTTGGTTCCCAAAGTTGGGCTTGGGACCCATGAAGCACCTTGGATAATCTCCAGAAATCAATTTAAAGGGTAATAAAATAATTGCTGATGTTATATTTTCCCTATAATTATTACAAAAACACAAAATAAGTAAGAATAATTATTTTTATTTGTGTATATAAGCTGTGTAGATTGTCAAAAAGCCTGTGTTTTTGGGGTTATTAACGAAGTTCATGTACTCAGACCAGTAATATTTGGGGTCACAAGTTTTTGCCATGGATATTTTGTGGGTCAGAAGATAAAAAGTTTGGGAACCACTGGTGTAAACAACCCTACTGAGAGGAGAGAAGTACCGAGCCGAACGAGACAACTGTAAATGAGAGCTGCTGCTTTGTCAGACAAATTTAATTTAATTTGAAGCCTTATCAACACAGACTGGCTTCATTCACTTCCTCCACTGCTGTATGCTAAAATAACTAGCAGACACTGTGCTGAACATCGACGTTCTGTTCTTTGATTGGCCCGGCTAAAATTCTGCCAGCGAAATCCTTGTCTATGGGAGAAGTCCCAGACGGAGCAGAGAAGGGAAGCTAGAACTGAGCGGAGCTGCGTAGGAAAGCAAGAACCAGGCTAGTGCTATGCTGGTCTCTTTGAACAATCAATGATGGAAATTGACTGAGTGGCTTGGTTGTTTTTTTTTCACTGAAAGCAAAAGAACATGGTGGGGTGCCTTTGCGCGATGTCTGGGTTCACCAGATAAATCAGAAGAGTTCTGAGTTTGGTGAGTTTCACCACTACAGGAGCTGCACACTGCTGAGGCTCACTTTCAACCCTATTTTCATCCTGAGTGCAGTTTGACAAGCTGCTGACCCACATCGGTGTCCGCATCTCACGCCAGGACACCGACTACAGACACTCTTGATTTCAGTGAAGAGCTGCTCTCCATCTGTCTCAGGTTAGCGGGCATCATTCAGGAGAATGTCTCATCTGAAAATGTGCCACTACGTCACATGGTTGATGCTCAAATCTCCAWGTCGAGTTGAAAAAGTTCAGATTTTCCAACTCAAGTGTCTGCTGCTTGGACATGCTGTATGTGCATCAAATGTTCAAAACATTTCTAGATGCACATGACGCGTCGGGACACTTCCCCATGCCCCTTGAYGTGCATCCACCGTAGGTTTTTAATGTAACCTGACGCGTTCTGTCTAAATGCAGCATAAGGGTGATAACTGTTTCTGCACTCCACTACACTTTTACCTGTTGGGGCACCAGACCAGATTTACTGATCATTCATTCACCCTTCAAGAAATCAGGCTCGGATACACCAAAAAGATAGATAAAATCATAGGATTGCAGGGAACTCTCAAAAGCAATGGGCCTCATGCAAGAACATGTTCGTATACTTATCCTAAATTTCTCTTAATTTTGTTCGTACAAAGGGTTCGTACGAC